ATAAAAAAGCCATGTCTCATTATATACATTTAAACTCATTTAACAGTTTATTACGTGTATGTTTTAGAACAGTGATCATAAGCAGAGGAAGTGGCCTGTTTGTGAAGGTCCTCAGGTGGTTAGACGTGTTGCAGCAACTCAAGCAGGCTACTGTGATGGGATGCTCCTGGAGCGAGGACCTGGTTTGAGATGAAGCAGGTGAGGTAGGCAGTGGGTAGGCCATTGGGGCCTGCCAGTTTATGCTAAAGCTAAGGAGCAGTGGGAAGCCACTGAGGAATATGAAGCAAGGGAGTGGGGCTGTCGGATTTCTCTACCTTCATCTCAGGAGAACTGACTGTTGGGGAGAAAGACTGGCTCAGAGATCCAGTTCGAAGTTTGACGAGAGTATAGGCTGAGATCAGATAGTGACATGTACTACGTAATCGTAACGCTAGACTACTTTGGAGGTATAATCCCTAGGCCGTGGTGATGCATGGAGAGCATGAATGAGAGGGAGAAAAGGAGGGTGATAGACTAGGCTTGTGGCTTTGCAGTTGGTAGAACCATTCACCGAAAGAATGTTCGAGAAAAGCTGAAACTTAATGCAGTCGTGGCATTTTAATGCCACTTGCCTCTCAGTGGGTTGTGTTGTGGTGCCTTGCCATCAGTATGCCAATTACCAACAGGTCGCTCATGGTGGGCAGGTTTCAGTGGGGCTTCCAGATGCAGGGAGCTAGAAATAAAAGGCCTGTAATCTACTCCTTTAAAAACTGGTCAGCACCAGGCTTCAGCCCGATGCGCCAAGACGTGAATACAGCATACCAGCAAGTACCAGGGAACCAGTAGAGAGGTCTGTGGGGCTGGCCCCAATCCCAACTATGTGGACCCCCCCCATCCCACCTCCCCACCCCCAAGAAGAATGCACTTCAGAGGACAGCATTGAAACTACAGCTTGGGGAGAGGGGCGCGTCTGATCAGAGCACACAGGAGAAAGGAAGAGGGAAGGAGAGGGAGGGGAGCACATCCTGGCCCACCAAGCCCCAAGGATGATGTTCCTGCTCAGAGCAGACAATGCACAGAGAGGACCATAGGGCCGTCCCCACCTTGAGACAGGACGTCCCTCACCAAACCATAGTGCTACAGGGGACACACTGGAGACACAGTGTGGCAATTGTGCCCAATCTGACCCCACCACACTGGGACAAAACACTAAGGGCATGCAACAGAGCAGCAAGGGGAGCAAAGCAATGAACCCCTGGGGAATACCAAAAGTAGACTTTGGAGAAAGAGTGTGACACCCCATCAGACTCGACTGGAAAACACTCCTAATGGCCAACAAACAGACCTTGAACTATTTATAGGCTTTTCCTTTTTTGTGAGTGGCTTTCTTTTAGTTGTTATTTTATTTTTGTTTGGGGAGGTTTTTTTTGTGGTTGTTTTGTTGGTTTGGGCTTCTTTTGTTGTTTGGCTTTGCCTGTTTTTTGCACTTATTAATGCCTTTGTATGTTTATCTAGATAAGATAGGCGGGATAAACAATTCAGAGACAAAAAGAATGGGACTGATGGTTCCAGGGGGATACTGGAGAAGGGGAGGTGGGAGAAAGGAAAGGAGGTGAGGAACAAACCCAGAGATAAGGGAACAACAAATGAACTAAAATCAATGGAAAGAAGGGCGTAGGCTGCCTAGCGGGACTTAATCAAGGGCAATGTAGCAGTGAGGAATTACTAAACCTGAATGAAGGCTGAACATGATGGTGGGACAAGAGGGTAGTAAAAGGAAATAGAAGAAAGAACCAGGAGACATGTTAAGAATTAAGGTTGCAGATGAACATTGGTCCTCTATTCAAGTACCCCCTCAAAACAAGAATACTTTTTTCTAATCATTCAGCATTCTGTGATGCTCGCCTTCCCGACAAGATTGCTGAAGACAAAGTGCGTGCGTAAGCAAATAAGGTGAAGAAAGCTGATGGTGCCCGCCTATCAAAAGGTATAGCGTCTGGGGTCTTAAAGGCTTGAAGATAAACAAGCAGCCATCTAGCTGAGAAGCAACAAAGCCCACATGGAAGAAGCACACCAGCCTGTGTGATCATGAGGTGTTTATGGGATCAAGTATCAGGCATCTAAGACCCAGCACAAAACCATACCCAATGTGAATGGGGGAGGGGCATTGAGTGGAGACCCAAAGCCCATCTGTAGACTATTGGACAACCCCTCACAGAAGGGTCACAAGGAAGAGATGAGCCAGTCAGGATGCAGTATAGCACTGATGAAACACACAACTTTCCTTTAGTTCTTTAATGCTTCCTTCCCCCCACTATCATGACCACAATTCTACCTTACAAATCGGATTAGACCAGAGCATGCACATTGCTACAGATAGGAGCCCACAACACAGGGAATCCAGGATAGATAAACCTCTTAGGGCCAACAAGGAGAGTAGAGATACCAGGAGGATAAGTGGAAGGTAGGGACAATAGGGGGAATCGATCACAAGGATTGATACAAAACCTCCTCCCAGGGGGACGACCAGAAAAGTGGGTGAAGGGTGACAGAGGATGATGTAAATATGAAAATAATAATCTATAACTTATCAAGGGTTGTTGAGGGAGGGTGGGGGGGGCAGGGAGGAGGAGAATGAGGAGCTGATATCAAGGGCTCGAGTAGAAAGAAAATGCTGTGAACATGATGGTGGCAGCATATGTACAAACGTGCTTGACACAATGAATGAATGTATGGATTGTGATAAGAGATATATGAGCCCCCAATAAAAGTATTTAATTAAAAAAAAGAATAATGGCAACACATGTACAAATGTGCTTGATACAATTGATGTATGGATTGTTATAAGAGTTGTAAGAGCCCCCCAATAAAATGATACTTTAATAATTTAAAAAAACTGGTCAGGAAAAGCCTTGTGAATAGCAGTGGGTCATTATGTGAGTAGTGCCAGCAGATGAACCAACTGGGGCAAAGCTGCTTCCTTAGAATTGACATTAATGGCATGTATGGAATACAACAAATCTTCATTTGCTGCTGTGGATATGGTGATGGTTGAACAGTATGATAAACAATAAATAGTAATGTCACAGAATTCTACAGATGAAGAATGTGGAAATGGAACATTTTTCTTATATATGTGTTTATTTCAATAAACGGACAAAAATGCAGTGTGTAGTGTATGCGATATGAATTTAGGAAAATTAGAAGTGGTCAAAAATGAATGGAATACTTGAAGATCAATACCTAGGCATTCGTGGACTGAAATGGACTGTGTTGGCCATACTGAATCAAACGGTCATGTGCTCTACCATGCTGAGCTTGGCGAATTGAGGAGGAGGAGCCATATTGCATTATTGTCAAATTAACATTTTATAGTCTGTCCTGAAGAACACCACAGTTGGCGATAACATCCTGTAAGCCTAGAATGAAAAAGGAAGGTTTTTAAAGAATTGATGCTATTGAATGATGGCGTTGGCCAAGAATATTTAGTATTCCACGGGTTGGCTGAAAGCTTCAAGGTCAGTGATTCAAACTCACCCATCCTGAAGAAGGACACCACGCTTGGTAAATTAGAGGGTCAGTGAAAAAGACCCCTAACAAGACGAATTGGGACAGTTGCTTCTGTCGTGGGCTCACACATAGCAGTACTTGTGGAGATGACAAAGCAGCGGGCAGTGCTTCCTTCTGGTGCACACGGTTGCTAGGAGCAGGAGCAGACTTGACCTTAAACCAACATGACATGAGCTGTGGAGTGTTTGTGAGACAGCCAACTGTAGACTTCAAGTAGGTAATTGAATTAAAATCATCTGTTGTGCGAAGCCCTGATCGCACTGTTGGTTCGGCAATGGACTGCTAACGGCACAGTTGACAGTTCAAACTCACCAGCTGCTCCTCCGGGGAAAGATGAGGCTGTCTACTCCTGTAAAGATTTACAGCCCCAGAAACCCTGTATAGGGTTGCAATGAGTAGACCTGTAGAATAAACATTCCAGTCCCTTCGGGGTACCATCACTGATCCCACTTGCTCCCAGTGTTGCTTGCTTCCATTCTCCTTCTTTCATAACTCTTGGTCCTTGGGTAAATTCTGCCATTTTTATCTTAAATGAATTGATTCTACCACGGAGATGAATTCAGTTCCAGTCTTGAAAGGTTAGGACTAAAGGCCATAGTCTTGAGGGGGTAGTATTCTTTTGGATGAAGTAAAAGAGAATGATAAAGATAAAGGCAATCATCAACTAAGGGTATTATTTAGGAGCCATGGTGATGGAGTGGTTACAAGTTGGGCTACTAATCAGAAGGTCAGCGGTTTGAATTCACAGCCGATCCTCGGGAGAAAAACAGGCTTTCCATTTCCTACAAGAGTTACAGAATGCCTTCAGGGGCATTTCTACCCAATTCTATAGAGTCACTATGAGTTGGAATTCACTCGATGGCAGTGACTTTGACTTTGGTATAGATGTGACTTTGTAATTCTATGTGTAAATGTACTATCGGATACATTTAGAGAACCCTAGCCAGCCTCAGGGATGAGAATAATTTTTACATGTTAATGAATTTCAATGCTTCTTTGCTTTAATTCTTTATATCCTGATGCCATGTGAGCCATTCCGTTTGATTTGGCAGCTGCTTTGTGGAGGAACACCAGTAGGTTCCACAGCCCACTCTTGGTGTCATTGGTCTTCGTCCACAGCCTAACAAGTCAAGGGTTTGTTTCTATTTCTTTACCATGGCTGTGCGACCCAAAATGATATGACTGATATGAAATATTATTATTTTCTGTGTAGAAGGTTTGATGATGATTAACTTGGATACTTGGAATAAGAGGTTTTTAATTTTTTTTAAGTTCAAATATGGATCTCTGATTTTATCATTATAGACCCCCTGGAAATTTTGAATAGTGAGAAGCTGTGCAGTTGGTCCTATGCATTATAGGACAGGCTCCAAAGTAAAGGGTTTGTTTAACAAATGCCCTTGAACTAAAATACAATATCATAATGTTTTGATCTTTTGTTTTAATCCTAGGAAGCTCTTCAAAGAATTATTTCAACTCTGGCAAATAAAAATGATGAAATTCAGAACTTTATTGATACATTGAATCATACATTAAAAGGAGTTCAGGTATGAATCTTGTATTATAGACTCTGCATAAATATGTGACAGTGAATAGTTGTTGGGTCAAATCAGAAGTGTATATATGCTCTGTTAATGCTAGATTATACTTTAATAGGGGTGAGAGCAGGATTTTAAAATGGCAGATAAGATAAAAATGCTTTCCTTCCTATCCCTGCAAGATACTATTTGGAAAGATCAAATGGAAGGGAAAGGATGGGAATACTACTTATTAGGAAATAGCCTAGTGTTCACTTTTACAGTCCGATGTTAACTGTGAAAGGACTTCAAGATCATCGGGTGGTACTGTCATGAATGGGCCTTAGTGTTTTGTGAAACAGGCATAGAAGACTTGGAAGACACTTGGGAACCATGAACCCTTTACTATTATGCTTTGGAAACATGTTTGTCTAAACGTAGTGTGTTAGACAGGCAGCCGCACACTGGTCCGATGATCTAAGAGCAAGAGACAAGAAAGGTGAGGCTCACCGAGCCAAGTTCTCTCCGCACTTCAGTTAATCCTACTTGTGTTTATTGGCCAGGCTGGCACAATAAACTATCTCACCTAGTCGTTGCTTGCTTCTTGGCCTGTTAAACCTTCCAATTTTTATAGTTCTTGTATTGCTTCAATTTGCTATGAATAAGTCAATTGATGATGGTCTTCACAATTTTAACAGTTGAACTAGTTCACTGGAAAGTTTGGTGAATCTTGATTTATTGATAAAAAGAACCATGGCATCTGACATCTGGAAAAAGAGAATTAAGAGTAGCGCTTACCCAAACTATTCTTCTGCTCGATTAGAACTCGAGCAGGGACATAATTCTCAAAACTCAAAACTCACTGCCATGGAGTCAGTGCTGACCCCTGTGGTTTCAGAGACGAGCCCTTTATGGGAGTAGAAAGTCCAGTCTTTCTCCTGAGGAGCTACTGGTGGTTTTGAACAGCCCACCATGCAGATCGCAGACCAATGCTTAACCACTACAGCACCAGGGCTCCATACCATAGACACAGAGGCGAATTCAGGCACACTTGTCACTGAAGATGGGGAAACGAGAGGAAGTAGGCAAGAGACAGGCAGAACGTGCCACTTGGTGATTGAGAGGAGCGAGTAGTCCGGTTCTTCTGGACTGATGAAGAGATGGGTCTCCAAGAATTGAAGTGACTTGTCCATGGTCATACTGTTGCTGAATGGAGAACATGGACTTCGACCTTAAGTCTTCTGTTTCTACGCTACATATTACATTCCCCCCACCCCCCACAATTTGTCGTAATCACTGTTAATAAACTACTATAACCATTGGCACTGCTGTTGATGAGACTCCAGTGATAGTGTCTCTTTAAATAAATATCTTAAACAAATGCTTGAACATATGGTACTGTAGTCTTTTGTCAATATTTGTTCTCTTAATCCATGCCAGCTTACAGTTCTTAATTGAATGATTCAACTACATTGAAAAATGCCTTAAGAGAATCTCTTCTGTCTCATAATTGTTGCAAAGGTAGATATTTTTACATAGGGTTGTTATGAGTCAGAATTGACTTGATGGCAGCGAGTGTTTTTGGAAAGAGTTCATAAATATTTTACGTTCTTGTAAGAGCCAAATCCTGCTCAGTGAAGCAGGGAGGGTCTCTGGGAAAACCAGACACTGAAAATACTCGATTGACTTTCTATTAGGAACGAGTTGTGTGACGGTCGTCTTGTCAAGGCACTTATGTGTGTTTGGGCATATAAATTTTAATGCGAAATGTTGGCCACCCTTTGACCCATTTTCTCACGGAAAGCTCCAGGGGGTGAGCCTTCCTTATCTTTTCTATTTTCTGGTCACCTTGGACATTCCTAGGTTAGAGGCCTCTGCCTCTTCCCGGCTGTCTTCCCTTAGTGTCTGTCTGTCTTTAGATGACCTCTTCCTCTGTGTGCCTTCTCTTTTCATATGGCTTCCAGTCAGGTTTGATTAGGGCTCACTCTAATCTTGTGTACATTATTTGACTCTGCAAAGATGTTTTCCCAAATAAGGTCACAGTCACCAGTACTGAGAGGTAGAACTTGAACATAACCTTTATGGGACACTAGTCAACAGAAATCTTTTGAATCTGTTCTCTGATAAATCTTTCAGGTTTTTCTTCTTCACTGTTTGAGAGCTCTTCAGTAAAACCATTGTTTTTTCCTGTTTGTTTTTTAATAGGAAAATTCTTCTAACATACTTTCAGAGTTAGATGAAGAATTCGATAGCTTGTACTCCATATTGGATGAGATGAAAGAAAGTATGATTAGCAGCATCAAGCAGGAACAAGCTCGGAAATCCCAAGAGTTACAGGTGAGATGATGTAGCTATTTAAAGATGACCGTTTCAGCACACTGAATGTTTAATTTATTAAAAGTGAAAAATGATGGGTTTCTCTATGTACCTGTACCTCTTCACTCTGCGTTGGTCAGAGGTATCTTTGAGAATCTGAAACCGAGGGAAGACTATGAATGCCCTCTCTCTCTGTTAGACACACTGTGGACCCTGTGGCCACGAGTCAAGTACCCTCTCAAGTCTGTTTATAGTTTCCAGGTTAAAGTTACGGTTTGTTGCTTATGTGTAAGGGGATGGGATAATCATTATTACTGAAATTATTCAAAGAAAATGTAATCATGAAGTACCCATAAATTGAAATAATTATAATAAATGAATTCATTTAATAATAAAAAAAGCAAGACTGGAGAAGAAGGGAAAACTGAGCATCTTCCGAAGGCCTAGGGCGTGGACTCAGCCGGCGCCAAGTGTGTGCCTGTGCTGTGGGCCCAGGTCCCTCTGCGTAGGATCGGCGTGGAAGGCCCTCTGTGCTCGCGGCTGCTTCGTCTCCAGCCTGCCTTTTGCCTTCGCCATTCTTGCTCTCCACCATTCCTTCTCTGCCATCAGCCAACAGGTCTATCAATGCACTGTAGCATGAGTGGGGTCGCTTTTCTTCCCTCTTCCCTTTGGGTGACAGATATCTCATGCGTACTGAGTGTGCTTTGTCTTGCCAGTTTCTGCCCACCAACGTAAGCCGTCCCTGGTGAGGGCTGCTCCAGCGCTATGGACGCCGTTTTCCTTTTCTCTTACCTCCAGGCTCCAAAAACCGGGCAGGTGCCTGTTGTTTTATTGCATATATGACCTTGCCCCCACCCCCCATCTCCTTCCTTAGAGGTAGCTCCACAGTTGTTTGCTTTTGGCATTGTCAGTGGGGGATCTAGAATCTGGAGACAGCAAATGGACACTTTAAAAAAAAACTTGCAATTGGGTAGATAAAATTAAACTATTGTCAATCTCTGTCATGAATACTTTGCAATGTGTGTTTGGAAAAATATTTCCCAGTCTCTATTAGTACATGCATTTTATTTTATTGCCAGCTCCTAGTTAATGGCAGTTAACCAACTCCCTCCTCCCCTGCAGCCCTTTCCCCTCCTCTCTGCCTTCTTCAGTCTCCTCTTATATGTTCAAATATGTTGGATAGCAGTTCTACCAGTAAGGACTTTTTGGAAAGCATTGTTAGAAATTAAACTTATAATTATCCTATTACATTGAATTTTTAAAAATGTTTACCGTCTTCATCATTCTATCTAGTTATGCTTGCCCTGAAGATAATTTAGAATTGTAAGCAATTTGAAATGTTTTGAAAACATTTTATATCTTAGTGTAAAATTCATATTTGAGAGTCAAGATTAGAGAGTTGTTTATAAGAACGATTTATGGGATATGTCAGCGATGATCCTTGGTTGCCAGTAGTTACATTTCATGCATTCATTCAATAAAACTTCATTGATGGCTATGCTAGATTTTGGGTATGTGGTAGTGAGGAAAATAACTCCTCTCCCATGGATTTCACCTTCTGACAGAGGGTAATTTGGAAGAAATGCAAAAGGAAAGGAAACTCAGGTCCCTTTGAAAACAGAATTTAAGAGAGAAAAGCAAAATAAGCAAAAACTGTATATAGTACAAAACTGATCTCAGAATAAGGCTGTTATTAAGAAGCATCTGGCTCTACATAATACAGAGAGGTTATGAAGTGAATTAAGAAACAGTTACTTAGAAGCTGAAGTGAAGAGTTTGACGCTTGCTTCATAGAGGCTCTATCAAGTAAGGTCGTTCATTTGCAAAGATAATCAAAGAACAACATTCTAAGAGTCTTCTAGTTATGTTGGAGCAAAGCCAGTCGAATGCTTCATTCCATGTCCAGTGAACCCTCGTTTATCGCGGTTAATCGGTTCTAGACCCTACCGTGATAAATGAAATTCCGCGAAGTAGGATTCCTTATTTGTAAATCAAATATTTTCGTAGTTAGAGCATAGAGGACATGAAAAAACACCCTTTAGTCACCATTACACTCGTATTACCCAATTTATTAAACGAAAAAGGGAAAATGCAGTAAAACATTTTGGACGTTACAATGATCATTTATTATTTATTATATTATGAAGTACAACGGATGGAGCGAACGGAAGACTCATTCAAGTCAAAATGGCATGCAACCTCCAAGATTTTCTTGCCATCTTTGATCATATCCAAAAGTTTTACCTTTTCCTGGATGGTGAGCATCTTCCTCTGGCGCTTATTTTTATTGTCAGAAGGCTTAGAAGAAGCAGCTCGTTTAGGAGCCATCATAGGGCTTAGATAAAATTTCTTTAAAATCGCAAACAATTACAGTACACTGTACAAAAGCAAAAATGCATCTGATACGTAGCTCTGATATGTAGCGATGCAGACAGAAGCGTGTACAGTATGAGCCAATCAGTGGCATTAATGACAGAGCATGCGCTGTTACACAAAAACCGCAATAGAGTGAAGCCGCGGAAGTCGAAGCGCGAAGTGGCGAGGGTTCACTGTATCTGGGCTTGGTGTTTGAATCCTTGCTTAACTTTAGCCCTGATATTAAAAAAGAAAAAACTGGACTTGAATATGGAATAAAAAGATAGTAATGAAGACTCTGAAGAAGAATCTTGGATACATTTGAAAGTTTAGAAATGAATTTCTTTTAATGCTAGTGCCAAAGGTGGGCGGGGGCAGGGGGCACTGAAGAGTTTTACCAACTTCTAAGACAACATGCAATCAAGAGTCATTGTTAATTAATTGGCAATTGGAAAGTGAAAGTTGGAAATGAAGATTTAGTAGTTGGTGATAGAAAAAATGTCGTGGAGATCACATGGTAGAATTTTGTATTAGATTCATTACACGTGTCTTTTTCAACTACACAAATAATGACTATTCACGTGGGCCTTGCCTGATAGAATAGCAATCAGATAGTCTCCATTTGTGGAAAAAGAACAGAAGCTCTGTACCAGCAGCCAGGACAAAGCTAGTGGCTGACTGCAGTAACAAACCATCAGTAACTCATATGTAAGTTCACACTGTGCCTGAAGAAAGTTGAAACAAGTCCATGAGAGAGCGCCACAGTGCGAAGCTGAACAGATATGGCACCTTGAACACTGGTGAACCAAGACGAGCTGAGTGATGGGCCTCATACCTGAAGAACTTTGAGGAAGAAAAGGCTTATATAATAAAGAGAGGCTGTATCAAGTAAGGCACTTCATTTGTAAAGATAATGAAGGAAACAAGTCATAAAAAGACAGGAAAGACCAGAGCAGATGTCAGAAGGGATTCTGAAATTTGTCCATGAGGAGAGAGTAGCTACAGCAAAAGCAAAAAATTAGGAAGTAAACGATCCAAACAGATTTCCAAGGTCAGCTTAACGAGGCCAAGTGTTATACTTAAGTGTACACAGAGCAGGAGTTAGAAAGTTAGAAGGTAAAAGAACGTCACATTCCTCACACTGAACAAAATGAAGGGGAAAAATTAAGCCTTGGGTTTCAATATTTAAGATACTATGAATAAGATATTGAACAACACAGGAAGCATCAAAAGAAAGCAGAAGAATATGCAGTTACTGTACCCAAAAGGACGGGTTGATGTTAACCCATTTGTGTATGCAAGAAAATTTGGAAAACAACTACCTGGCCAGCCAATTGGAAGAAATCCATGTGTGCCCATTCCAAAGAAAGATGATTCAACCGAATATGGGGATTAATGAATACTCTCATTAAATGCTACACAGAAGTAAGGCTTTACTGAAGACAATTTTAAAATAGTTGCAACAATATATTGACAGGGAGCTGCCTGTCACAAATTCAAGCTGGATCCGTAAGAAATGGAACAATGGATATCATTCCTAATGTCAGATAGATGTTAGCTGAAAACAGAGTACCAGAGAGAGGCTTATTGGTATGGATTGACTGTGCAATGGCATTCACTCATAGCAAAGCATATATAGAATTGTGAAAAATAGGATTCCCAGGACAATTAAGCCTGTCTTTATGGGAAACCTGTACATAGACTAACAGGGCATCGTTTGAACTGAACAAGCACACAGCATGGTGTTAAATCCAGAAAGGTGTGTGACAGAGTTGTCTACTTCGCTCTTCTTGTTCAGTCTGTATGTTGAGCAACTAATTTGAGAAACTGGATTATGTGGAAAACACAAGGATCGGAGGAAGACTCGTTAACTACCTGAGCTTTGCAGACGACACAGCTTGCTTGCTTCGAGTGAAGAAGACCTGAGGAACCTGGTGAAGATCAGCGACTGCAGCTCCAGCACGGATTACCCCTCAGTGTGAAGAACGCAGACTCCGACAAGAGCAGCCATAGGCAACATCAGGATCACTGGAGAAAAATGTGAAGTTGTCATAGATTACATTTTACCGTATATACTTGAATATAAACCGACCCGAATATCAGTTGAGGCACCTGATTTTACCACAAAAACTGCATTAAAAATATGCTGAAAAAACTGGGCTTATCCGTGAGTATATACGGTACCAACTTAGATTCATAGCCATTGCCCATTCATTGGGCAGATCCTTGCTACAAAATACATCTGTAAAATGTTAAGAAGTAAGGGTGTCACTTTGAGCACGAAGGTGCACCTGATCCATGCTACTGGCAAACGCTGGGCAACGAAGGAGGAAGACCAAAGGAAATAGGATGCATTTGCATTATGGTGTTGGCAAACAGTACCACAGACTTCCAGAAGAATGAATGAATCTTTCTTGGAAGAAAATGTACAGCCAGAATACTCCTTAGCAGGGAAGGTAGTAAGATTCTGATAACATACTTCGAATATGTTATCAGGAGGGATCAGACCATGAAGAAGGACATCAGACTCATTAGAGAGTGAACAAGGGACAGAGCCTCAATGCGCTGGACTGGCACTCTACGCAGGGTGACACAGCGGAACAGCGGGCTCAAGCACAGCCAGTATGAGGACGGTTCGGAGGAGGCAGGGCTTCCTTTCTCACGCTCGGGCCACTGTGAGCCCACATCCTTTTAATGGCACTGAACAACGACCATCACTAGCAGTTTTCTAGCATGACAGGGCTTAGTTTTAGACATACAAATCAATAGAAAGAGCAAATGCAATGAGGAAGATTATGTTTGCTTAAATTCATATGTGAGTAGTGAAGTCAAGCAACATTTATCATTTACATTCCTCTCCTCTGAAATTTAAATATTTACATGTGTGGTTTCTTGTGTTATCTAGTCTTGGGAACTCTAATTTTCCATGTACAGTAATACATATTAGTTGGATAATCAGTAAAGGAAATTTAAAGTTCTGCTCATACTAAGGTAGCAGTGGACATTGGCCCTCCACTCAAGTACTCCCTCAATGCAAGAACACTTTGTTCTATTAAACTGGCATTCCATGATGCTCACCTTCCCGATAATGATCGCTGAAGACAAATGGATACAGAAGCAA